CAGTCACTTGAGAACAATTTTTGATGGCTTTCAATACAGAGTACCTTCCAGAGCATCTCCAACATATGAAGGAAAGGGAGTTTACACACCTGATCCAGGGTGATATAATGGTGTCAGAATATGTCCGAAAGTTCTTAAAGTTTGGTCAGTATTCCCATGAGAGTATGATGGATGAAGGTAGAAATGTAAGAAAGTTCGAGTAGGGCCTCTGTCATGAGATTAGACAACAGTTGTATGTGTTCGAGCTCAGTACTTACTTGGTCGATCTGGCCAAGGCACAGTTAGTTGAGATGAACCTTCACATTTTTTTTTCCAGCAGTAAGGAACCTCAGACCCTCGGTTTCACACCGCAGACCAGCACCCACTACACTTGTTCAATAAAATAAGATACCTAGGCTATTGACTCACACTCCTCCTTAGATTCCGACAATAGAATACAGTGGGACTTACCAGCACTGTGGCAAGAATCATGGGGATCGACTCTGCTACCGTATCAACAATATTTGCCGTATATGTGGGAGTACCCAACATTACACGAGAGAGTGCCCAAGAAATCAGAACTAGGCTAGACCTCTTATCTAGGACAGGGCTTACAACCTCACTTAGTAAGATACAAAAGCTAACCCAAATATGATACAAGGCAAACCTAAGAAAAAAAATTGTATTCGAGAGATTTCGGTAGTTCGAGATTTCCCATATGTGTTCCCAGATGAACTACCCAGACTGTCAGTGGACAGAGGAGTTGAATTCATCATAGATATTCAGCTAAACACCCAGCCTATTTCGGTTGCCCCTTACTGTATGAGTCGTGTTGAGATAAAGGAGCTGAGGAAACAGATCAATGAATTGCAGGATAGTGGATTCATCCGACATAGTGTGTCCCCATGAGATGCTAGAGTCACATTTACAAGGAATGAGGATGGGACATTAAGGTTATGTATTGACTACAAAGGACTGAACAAGGTCACGATCAAGAACAAGTACTCCCTTCCCAAGATCGATGACCTTTTTGATCAGTTGTAGGGTATCCAGATCTTCTCCAAAATAGACCTGCATTAAGGTTACCATTAGATAAAGATTACGGCAAAAGACATTCCCAAAATAGCTTTTGAAAACAGGTACGGACACTATGAGTTCCTAGTCATGTCATTTGAACTAACCAACGCACTAGCCATCTTCATAAATTTAATGAATAGGGTTTTTAGATAATTCCTGGATTAGTTCGTCATTGTATTTATCAATGATATCCTAATCTATTTAAAAAAGAACACGTTCACCATCTGACTCAAATTTTGCAGGTCTCAAAGAAAAGAAGTTGTTTGCAAAGTTGAGTAATTGTGAGTTCTGGCTCAAGCACACTACCTTCATGGGGCACATCATATCAAGGGATGGAGTGTCAGTAAACCCTGAAAAAGTTGAGGCAGTGCTTAACTAGAAAAAATTGACTTCGGTTAAGGATATTCATAACTTTCTGAGGATTACAGATTATTACCGCAGGTTTGTGGAAGAATTTTCTATCCTAACTGCTCATTTGACTCAGCTCACAAAGAAGAACGTCAAGTTTGAGTGGAAGGAGAACTGTGAAAAGAGTTTTTCAGAACTAAAGAAATAATTGACTACTGCACCTGTGTTGGTCTTGCTGAGTGGGACAGGTAAACATACAGTTTATAGTGATGCCTCCTACCTGGGGTTGGGTTGTGTTCTGATGCAGCATGAGAAAGTTATAACTTATGGATCCAAGCAGTTGAAGAGTCATGAAAAAAATTACCCCACCCATGACTTAGAACTTGCCGCGATTATCCACACCTTAAAGACTTGGCACCATTACTTGTATGGGTAGACTTTTAAGATCTATATCGATCACAAGAGCTTGAAACACATATTCACTCAAAAAGAATCTCAACATGCGTTAGATACGATGGATAGAACTCCTCAAGAATTACGATTATAACATCTTGTATCACCCAGGCAATGACAACGTGGTAGCTGACACACTTAGTAGAAAAAATTATTCAACCCAGATTTTGTAGAGGAGACTACAACCAAAATAGTTAAGATCAGCAAGAACATCCAGACAGCTCAGAGCAGGCGGAAGAGTTATGCGGATACTCGAAGGAGGGATTTGAAATTTGAGAAAAATGATCAAGTATTTCATAAGGTCACTTCTTTTAAGGGAATCAGTAGGTTTGACAAGACGGAGAAACTAAATTTTCGGTTTATTGGGCCATTTGAAATCGTAGACAGAATTGACACCGCCACCTACAAACTGTACTACCTCCAGAACTATCCAAAATCCATAATGTGTTTCATGTGTCCATGTTACCTAAGTACAACTCGAACCTCTCTCACATCTTGGCCCACAAGTCCCTTTCACTTCAGGAGGATCTGTCCTATGAGAAGGTACCGATAAGTATTGTGGACCGAAAGAGCAGGATAATCTGCAACCGAGAAATTTCCTTTGTTAAGGTGCTATGACAGAACTACACATAGAAAGAGACCACATGAGTACTAAAATAAGACTTCAGATCCCAGTATTCCCAACTGTTTGATTGAGTGAGAGAGAGACAAATTTGAAGGATCAAATTTCTTTTAAGGGAGAAAGAGTTATAATACCCGAGCCCGAAATTTGGACTAGGATTAATTTTAAAGTTTAAAAAAATGTATAAAAATATAATTTTTAAATTTATAAATTTTGTTTAATGTAAAATTAGGAAATAAAAATGTTGATGATGAAATTGAAAATAATTTTTTTAAAAAAAAGGGTGAAAATTTGGTGTTCAGATGGTATTTTTGAAAGAAAAATTAGAAACTGAGGATCAAAACGCAATTAGAAAAAATTGTGTCATGTAATACCGCTCAGTCAGCAGCCCCGACGAACCGAAGCGTGCCGCATGCCAAGACATGCTGACTTGGTGCCACGCGAGAGGCCACGCTGGCAATCCGCGTGCCCGCGATCGGACGGCCCATATGCATTCCCACCCGTGGACGGTCCGGATCCATTCCCTCCTCAGGCGCGATCGGACGGTTGTGATTAAACGCGATGAATGGTCCAGATTCATTTTCTCTTTAAACGCGATCATACAGTCGAGATCAAAATCGCGATGAATGATCTAGATTCATTTCCTTTTTAAATGCGATCGGACAGTCGAAATCAAACGCAATGAACGGTCAGGATTTAGGGGACATCACACCGAATTTAAACCTTAGTCGCTGGCCTCCTATCGCCGCCCGTCACACCATAGCTAACTCCAACTGCCAAAAAAGATAAAAAAAATTCTCCTATCTTCTCAAAATTTGATTCCGAACACCTCCATGACCAAATTGGAGTAAAAAGAACAACAAATGAGCCGAAAACTGTAAGTAAAGCCCAATACTACTACCACGGCCAAAACTCGAAATCGCCTCCGATGAGCCCCTTTCTGTTTTCCGTTTTGTACAATTTTTTCACCATTGTGTTCATCATTCTATTTTCTACAAGTTGACCGAAGAAAAAAAACCCAGCAGCGAAGGTGAACCGGTGGAGTCGCCGCATCGGAAAATTCCACCGCTGGTAAGTTTTTATTTTTTGACTTTTTTCGGCCAATCAAAGCTCCCTAACGTATTTTCTTGCAGGAATGGATATAAAACCGATCGAAATCAGCCAAAACTGGCCGAAAATGACCAGGCCGAGCAAACCACCGTCGTATCAGAATTCTGAAATTGACTGAAAAAAATTTTTAACACTGATTTTAAATTTTTTGGAGTATTTTTAGATATGTAAAGCGTGTTTTAATCTCCGCAGAAAAATTCAAAAAACTCGGAGACCATCAATAAGCGCAGTAAAAAAGTCGATGTTTCGAACACCGATTCGGGTAAGAATTCTTTACCTTATTCTCTATTATGGAATTGAAGTTTAATTATCAATAATACAGTATTTTACGTAATTTAAAAAATTTTGAGAATTAATTATAGATTACTAGTGGAACCGAAACCGGTCATTTATTATTATTTGTCTTTTTTAACCGATTATTTAATTTTACAGCTTTAAATGCATGATAATATACTGAAATTGGTAAAATGATTCAATTGTGTTTACTTGATGCATGTATTATTTGTCTCGTGTTGATTTACGGTTAAATTATAAAACTGAAAATTAAATGTAAACGAAAAATTAATCTATTAATTGAATGAATGAATGATAACCTTTCTGGATATTCTGGAGAATTGTGGACGGATCGGGTACATAGAAAATTCTACCGTGAATGTCGCCTCATACCGGACGGGATATCGAGAATTGATATTTTTGACATTCATACCAGACGGGGTATGAAAACAGCTCGTTTCACCCTCACACCGGACGGGATATTGAGAGATGGTATTTTTGGCACTCATACTGGATGTGATATGAAGACGGTTAGTTAGTTGACAATGTTAAATAATGGTTCACGCGTAGTGAGACATTTCTATAGGCTCCCAAGAATACCAGTATGCAAATAAAAAAGAAAAGTTACTGTTCTTACTCACTTGAATATAAGATTGAAATGTTATTTAGATTATAGTCTCTATAAGTCGATTTTAAAAATGTTACAAACGGTAAATATATGCAATAAATAATTTTCTTTATGATAAATAAATTTATTTAAATCAAGAGTTCCATTGGTTGTTTTTATAATTTTTACCAACATTCAATTTCTGTATTAGTGAGTAGTGTGATATTTTTACTGATATAGTATACCTCACCATTTCATTAACTATTTCAGATCGAAAAGAACAAAACCCAGATCCTAATCAACAAGAGGGTTGCGAATAATTCACCACCCGGACTCTCTTCAAAAACTAGTGAAGGTCATCCTAAAATGCTCAGTATATTACCTTTTATTTATTTTCTTGACTTTATTTGTTCTTTTAGAAAGATCGTTCTCGTAACTCTATTGACTATTCTAACTTATTGTGTAAAGAATAGAAATCTTAAACTCTATTATTTCGTTTTCGTATTTAATTCATAACTTTATTTCCTTTTAAATTCTAAACCTTTATATGTAGAATCTAGAAAGACTGACCATGCGTACTCAGAGATCACCTATCTTAAGTTTTGATTATTATTATGCTTATATTTCAAGCATAATCATCCAATATCAGAGAAACAATATATTATATGTATGAGGCCATTCAAAGGTGATAGCAAACGAAGTTCTCCCTCACTTGTTCTTCACAATTTCTTCCTGCAGCATGCCCTGGATCAAGAGTTCTGAAAATGCACAAGCAAAGGAAGTCAATAATTCAGGATGTAGAGCGAGCATCTCAGTTTCAGAGTTAACTGCAGAATATATAATGGTTATGAAAGCACAATAAAAGCTGAGTGAATATGTCTGTGTGTCTAAAGGACAATGTACTAGCCTATTACTGAGTTTCCTACTTTTCCCAATATGGAATCAGAGAGCCCCATCACTTCCAACCCAACTGCAAGCAGTATCTTTCAGCACCCCTCTAATTTTCATCACCCCCCTAAGTTCACTTACATTGTCCCATTTCCCAGCAGCTGCCAAAGTATTAGATAATGCAACATATGCTCCTGGCCGACTAGCAGCATTTAACTTAAATAGCTCCTTGGCAGCTATATTTGCCATCTCTATATTACCATGGAGCTTAGATGAACTAAGCAGAGCTGCCCAAACATCAGAATTCGGTTTCTTAGGCATCCTCATGACAAATTCCCATGCTTGATATAAACTTCCTGCACGTCCAAAGAGATCAACCATGCAAGCATAATGTTCCATTTTCGGTTTCATCCTATGGTCTTTTTCCATGCTCTCAAATACCTCACATCCTTTAGCAACTAAACCAGCATGTGCACAAGCAGAAAGAGCACCTAGGAAGGTAATGTCATTCGGTTCAACACCATACTCCGGCATCATTTGGAAGAGTGTGAGTGCTTCACTGTAGTTTCCATTCTTCCCATAACCATCAAGCATGGAAGTCCATGAAAACACGTTCTTTTCTGGCATATGATCAAAAACTCTTCGTGCCTCCTCAATTCTTCCACATTTTGCATACATGTCCAACAGAGAACTACCTATTTTTACGTTTGTGAAAACCTCAGTCTTCATCAGTTGTCCTTGTACTTGCTGACCAGCTTCAAATGCACTTAAAACAGAGCACGCCCCAATCACACTTGAAAATGTCGACATATTTGGCTGGAAGTGATTCCGTTGCATATCAATATAAATTTTAAGAGCTTTCCTAGCTGTTTCAAAAGATTTGCTGTAACCTTCAATCATTGCATTATAAACCACCAAATCTTTTTCAACAGTTTTATAAAAGATATCCTCAGCGTCCTCCGCAGAACCCTGATTCATGTACCCAGAAATCATAGAGGTCGAACATACAACATTCTTTTCCAACATCATATCAAACACAGTCCTAGCGCATTCCACCCTCCCTTCCTTCACATACGAATCCACAAGCCCCGTATAGAGCACATCATCCGGTTCCACATCACACTTGAGTATCTGGGCATGGACAGCCCTTCCTAAGCTGCGGGGCAACATATCATTAGTAGCACCAGTTGATGCCTTTAAAATCATGGAAAACGTAAACCCATCCGGCTTTTCACCAGAGAAAATCAACCTACGAGCCAAACTAAGAGACTCCTGAACTTGCCCATGTTTAAGATACCCACCAATCATGTAATTATATGAGGATAAAGTCCGTTTAGCCAATTCATCGAACATTTGGCGGGCAAATTTGAGACACCCACATTTCAAATAAAGTATCAGTATTTTGATAGAAATATTCGTGTCGGATTTGAACCCAGTTTTAATAACGTGGGTATGAATCTTCTGGCCATGTTTTGGGTTCTCTGAGGAGATGAACAGTTGCAGAGCTGAGGCTATGGAAGCCGCAGTCAAACGAGAGAGATAGGAAAGAGTTGGCGGGAAACTTTGTTCTGATTGGGAAAGAAAGGTTAAATTACGATGCGAGAAGAAAAGAGAAGGTACGATTGTTGGGAGCTTGCCATGTTTCATCTTCCCATTTGATCAAAAATACCAACTGCTTGTTCAGTTTCTCCAGTTCGTCCGTCGGCCATAAAAATGCCAGACGTGACATGAAAACCCTCTGTATAGACCCATAAAAACGACATCGTTTTAGTTCCCGGTCCAAGCGTTTGGTCTGACAATCCTGTTATAATTTCAACTTTAATAAATTTTAATTAAATAATTAAAATAATTTTTTTAAAAAATAGATTATATTTCTTTCGCTCTGATTCTTTCACCTTTTAAAAATTTTTAATTCACTTACTCCACTATATATTATTTTTAATTTTTAATTTCTTTTTTAAATTCTGATTTGTACTTTCATCTTTTTCTAATTTGCTATCTGTCTGTGTTTTTATTTTGTCTCCGTCTTGTATCCCCGCCTTTTGGGTGAAAGTAGGTAGGCTAGCATTCAAGATAAACAGAGCAGCTTCATTTTTCCAGACCGAGCAAATTGAAGGTTGACTTTCTTTGATCCGTTGCACAGTATGGATTCTAACTCAGATTCTAAATGTACTTTTTCATTTATAATATTCACCAGGTTACGATTTTGCATTGAAGTTCATCTGATATAGAAGCAAAACTCAGTTTCTCTCTCTCTTTTTTGAAGGAAATCCTTTCGAATATCTTACTAAGATGAGACCGAAGATTTATCTCTTTGGTGACTCAATCACTGAAGAATCCTTTGGTGATTCCGGCTGGGGTGCTTCTCTTGCTCATCATTTTTCTCGCTCGGTATTTACAGTCTCTGATTTATTTTCTCTTAATCTTTTTTCCCCCTTCTGGTTTAGATAATCAATGTTCTTTTCCTTTTTGATTCTCTCAGTCTTGAATTTTTAGGTATATGGATTTGCAATTATGTAGTAAATATGTGGGGCTTAAAATGCAGTTTGTTGTGATTTTTGAATTGGTTTATTGGATTGGCATGAAGGTTGATGTAATGCTGAGAGGATACAGTGGGTACAATACTAGATGGGCTTTGAAGGTAATCCATAGGGTTTTCCCAGCGGTGGAAAGTGAGGAGCCGCCATTGGCTGTAACGGTGTTCTTTGGAGCTAACGACGCTTCACTTCCCGATAGATCCTCTTCTTTCCAACATGTGCCGCTTGATGAATACAAGCAAAATCTCCGCTCCATTGTCTTCATTCTTAAGGTATCCCCTTCCCTCTGTGTATATTTGTGTCATGCATATGTACATATGTAATGTGTGTGTGCATACACGTATAGTGCAAGTAAATACTTGCTTTGATCAAATGGTGAAATAGCCGTAGATTATGAATATAAGTTTTACTGTTTTAGACTCAGTTTTAAATCTTAAAAATGCATGGACTGTGACACGGGTTTAGAGCTTGGGACTGGGAGAGGCCTTGTATACTTGTCTCTATTAGAATAAATCTGTATATTTTATTCTCTTCTAAGTAAATCCCAAAGAATGAAACTAAATTAAACTTCCTTAATGGTGAAAGAGGCAATTCCGTGTAATTGAATCTCAAAAATGGAGGTACAATTTCTTTAGAATGAACTGATGAGGATAGGAATTTTAGATTCTATCTACATGAGGGTTCCAAACCTTGACAAGCGTAGAACAGAAGTTGACCAGAAATTGAATTCAGTAAATGTGTTTAAGAGTGTGGATGACAATAGGGGTGAGAAAGGTGAGAGTCCGAGTAATAAAAGATTTTTAGAGTAAATAGAAAGAGGCCAAGGTGGGATTGGGTAAAAGCACAAGTGTAAATGGCAAGGAAGGTGCCAAAACTAGGTGCTGTGGTGGGTGAGGCCCAGCTGTCACTGTTGTTTGCCACTTGGCTATTACTGTACAGCAATACATTTATGATTACTCACGCAGCATCTTTGTTATTGGCTTTGCTAATCCCTCAATTTCTTTGTCACGATAACGGGTGGCTTTGTCAAGCATGTTTTCAACTGCATTAGATGGTTGGAAAGATAATTTTCTTCTTTGTTTGGCTCCGGGTTAAATTCCACCTGTTCTTTGAAAGTGATGCCTTTATCTAATTTATAAAAGGATTGGATCTCTATTTCGTCTCTAGGCTTTCTATTTTCTGTCTTTTTTTTTTTTGTCTTTGTTGGTTTTCCTTTTTATGCTTGGTGGATGTCTTATCTTATCATCTTTCATAACTTTTTCCCCCATCTAATTGCAAAAATAGTCATTAGTTTTAATTTAGTTAAAAATAGTCATGGACTTGCCACTTCTTTTGTAATTTAGTTATTGACATTTTGATTGTTGCATTTAAATTATCAATGCTTTATTATTTTTTACATCAATTTTTGATGATATACTTATCTTGCAATGATAACGTGTCAAAATCAATTTATTTTAATATATAGTTTATCCGAAAGAATTAAATTAAAAAGAAATGTTAAAGATTTAATTACAACGATGAAAAGGGTAAGAATTAAATTTTTTTTTTAAAAAAAATGAAAAAGTCAGTGATCACTTTTACAATTAAGCCACTAAATTAACTAGTGGGTTCCTTGAGAAAAATCAAAAGAAGAAGGAAAAGCCATGAGAACTTATTTTAGGAAAACACATGTTGCTTGTGATAATTTTTTAATGAAGTTTAGAAATTAATATTGCCGGGGTAACAGTTCTTAGTATCGTCCCCAAAAAACTTACTTTTTGCTTATTGTTATTAGTAAAGTGGGGGAAAAGGTAAGAATGTTGATGACCTTTCTGTGCTTGTTTGTGTGTGTCTTTATACATATATATATATATATATGTTTATAAAGGTTTCAAGAAGCAATTTTAAGGTATACATTTATTTAGTAGCAGAAGCAGAGAGTTGCACCTCTACAAAAGAACCTGCTGAAATGACCAATAAGTCCTGTCTAAACACTTAAATAATAATCTCACTACTTTTTTGGCAATGGACTAAACTGGTGCTAATCATGGGTCAAAAGTAAAGATCAATTATTTTCAATCATTCATGCACCTACCAATGGATATACTTTGTTAAGGCTGGAGTTTAGATTCAAGATCCCTAATGATATAATGAACATAAAGTGCGATCAGTATGTATAACAATAATGTTTGCTTAAAATTTAAACTATTAACGTGATCCGAAGTATTTTTGTGGGGTATTGTTGATTTTCCCGTATCATTATTGGAATGACTAATTAATTGTAATTCTTTATGTGTAATTAATTATTGCACTCACATCTTTGATGTTACCGAATATACTCCATGCTGGTCTGGTTTAATAGTTTTTGGGCTCAGACCCACGATGACAGCAGTATGGTATTTATTATTTTATGTAATGTTGTGAGCAGATCCATTAATTGCATGAAAAGTGAATTCGTATTAAAATTCCAGAAACATAATATTTTTTTTTGAGTGTCTGATAAGTTAACTCAAGTGTGTGATATAAGTTAGAAAAATTACGCAATTCAATGGCTACAAGTGACTTTCATTTGGTTGAATAAAACATGCAATGTGCAGTGAAGACTAAATAACCACTCATTACTTTTTAAACAATTATTCATAATGATTTCCATATAAAATTGCATTTAATTATATATAAAAAGTATTCATAATACCTGTTTCCAATTTGCTTGCTATGCCATTATTTTTGTACATGCGACGTGGGATGTGTTGTTTTTATTTTTTTAATACGTGGTGATAATGTGGCACATATTCGATAATAATTTTTTTAAAATTTTTTACATTTTTAAAAATAACTTTTAAATTATTGAATATATTAAAATAAAATTTAGTATATTTAATATTAAATTTAGCAAATAAAAATCTAAAATAATAACTTACTTCTTTTTATACTTGGTTTTATGTTGGGGTTTCTTTCCTTTCCCTTTCCCCTTTCATTTTCATTTTCTTTCTCTCTTCGTTTCCTTCTTCCTCTTTTAACCCTCCCAAAGCTCCCTCTCTCTTTCTTGTGCACCTTCTGTCCCGTTCTCTCTCCTACAAAGCAAAAAGCTCTCTATTTCTTATTCTCTTCACGCCACAGCAGTACCTCATCGTTGATCCCCAGGTTTCCCCTCGATGCCTGCCCTTCAAATGCATCATTCCCGGAGACTGCTGGCGACGGTGTGCAACCCACTTCGACTTCAACTCCGCCAACTTCTCCATGGAGCACGGGAGGTGCTTTTGGGGCCATGTACGGATGAATGCGTCCGGGACGGCGAAGAGAATGGCCATCTTTTTCGGTAATGAGTGCAGATACGATCGTGCATCTAGAGTTCCCCAGATTAGTCGAAGTACGAGAGAGGGCGTCGTGGGCTTGTCGCTTAAGAGTAATAGCGACAAAGAAATCGGGGAATTTGGCGGAGACAAAAACAAGAAAAGAAAATAGATGTTTGGTCTAATGAGTTTGTGTTCTGTGGTTAGGAAGGAAGAGGCGGATAGGAAAAATAGAGAAGAATGAGAAATAGGTTGTGCTATGAACATTGAGGTGGCAAAGTTGGGTGTTTGGGGAGGAGAGGAGGGAAGTAAGAGAGGGTTATTAGTTGTTTCAAAAGGCGAGAGTTAGAGAGAAAAATGGTGCATCCGGTAGGCGGGAAAATGAGAGAAAAAAGACATGGAAAATAGTGCAGAAAATTATGCTTTTTTTTTTTTTTTTTAACTTTTTCTTAAATTTAAACATTAATTTTTTATTTCATATTTTTGAATACTATTCTAAGAAATAAAAAAACGAGAATATTTAGAAATGCTACTTTAGCACTAAGCGCCAGAACATGCCACATCATCACCTTTTATGTTCATTTAAACTATCCAGGTAAATAGTGTACGATTAAAAACCGACTTAATTTTCTTTTTTAATAAAAAAATTTTAACTAACAAGTGAAGTGTCGATTTAGATGCATCTGAAAAGTTCTGGAAGTTCAGAAAGCAAATTTTGTGTGGGACTGATTTGAACAATTTTAAACTGTAGATCAAGTTTACTTAGGCTATCGACAGAAGATTATTAGTCTCGATGTATGAGTTCTAAGGAGAGATTATTTTAAGAATTATTTTATCTGTGGCTTCTTGACGCGTTAAAACTTCTCTGATAGAAATGAAATAAACTAAACCAATTCAAAGTTTTTATCATTCTGGAAATTACTTTTTTGAGCTACCAAAGGACGTTTAAAGGAAAATCAGTTTCGGTAATAGATGGTATTGCTAGATTAGAAAGTGTGAAGAGAATCAATTTTCTCTTCATCTAAATTATTTCCAGTGAAGTTCAGAAAAAACCAGGATGCCCTTTATGAACCTTTCTTTCACATGTAGTGGAGTTTGGTAAGTATGCAATGATAGCTGAACTAGACCAGTGTGTCCACACACATAATGAGTTTGTTCGTGCTGTATTGCTTTGTTGTTTTTGGTTTCTTCCTGATCGTGTTAAGCTTTTTTTTTCCTGCAAATTTTTTTTCTGGGAATCAGAGCAGGTGGCCAACGACCTCCATTCTTCTCATAACTCCTCCTCCGATTGATGAAGATGGGCGTCTCAGGTATAATTATACGTTTCATGTCTTTACTAACATCACCTTCAGTTTAGATGGATATTTTTTTCTTTCCGTGATGTCCTAGGGACTGTTTGTATTTTATCACCTTATTTTTTGCATATCTAATGTGTTAATGTTATTGGAAATTAAAAATAATAAAGCAGAAACAATGTTACTAATCTTGGGGGAGCTGTTGAAATCATCTTAAACCAGGTATCCTTTCATTGAGGATCCGACGGGCTTGCCTGAGAGGACAAATGAAGCTGCCGGTGCTTATGCCAAGGCATGTTCTGCTGTTGCTAGTGAATGTGGTATTCCAGTGATAGATCTTTGGAGCAAAATGCAAAAGTTTCCAGGATGGCAGAAGTCTTGTCTAAGGTATAATTTTTGGCCTATATCATTTACTTGAGCTTGCTTTTCAAAATTCATAGACGTTCATAGAGTTGATTTGCATTGACAATTTTCATGCTTGATAATTATTGACTTTGGGTGCTTATTCTGGTTGTGATTATCAACATTCAGTGACATCAAGTTCAGTGTACTTTTAATCATCTTTTCCAGGATTATTTGCTCAAATTTTCTGAAAGATGGTTCTTGGTTCTATAAATTTTTATTGCATCGTCTACCAAGTGTTTTTTGTTTAGGTGGTGCCTCAACTGTCGTCAATTGAGAAATGGTAAAATGGTCTGCAGATTCTTCGTGATGAAAATTGGAGAACATTACATTGCTAAGTTTTTGCTAGGGAAGTCCTAGTTCAGGTTCATCAGGTTAGTTTAGTTTTAGAGTAGCAATTCTTAATTTCGGGAAACTCAGTAAAAGTTATTTGCGACAATGAGAACTAATTGGTTTGAACCTGGGGCCTTTTATTCTCCTGGGATTTGGTTGAAGTTCTATTAGATGGAAAACTAATTAACAATGAGATGGAGATTCATGATTAAGTGTAGGGAAACCAGAATCATCTTAGTTGGCCAAGGGCCAAGGTTAAGTACTCAAAAAACTGATAATCTGGGATCATTAACTTATAGGCTTGCCTGCTAATAGCTTGGAGTTGCTTCACCTCCAGCATGATTGACTTATTGTTATAATCCTCTTGCGTACTAGTAGTCTTAAACTGTAATCTTTTGATTCTACTCTATTCTCTCCGGCTCTCTCAAAATATATATATATATATCTATGTAATTTTTGCAAGCAAGATAATTCTGACCAATTATGGCAATACTGCTAGTTGTTCTATTAGTTTGTTTAAATACATTAAACAATTGCGTCAAGACTTCTTGTAACAATTTTCTGTTTTCATAATTTTAGTCTTGATGCTCTAAATTAATAACACTAATATTACTACTACTAATAATAATGATAGTAACAAAAATAATAATAACTTCTGGCCTTGGAGAAATCACATGTTTGTTCATATGTCAATCCTTCCTTTGTACTGCATTATGATTCTTAGTCGATATCTGTGATTCTTATCATGGATAACACCCAACCTTATCCTCATCACACTGTCATGTTCCATTCCAGATTAATCTTTGTAGTTTAAATTTCAAATGTACATAGCCAACACGTACACATTTCTTCTCTTGGGACATCTATCTGTACTTTTCGTCACTTTGAATAATATGAGAAATCTGTCCTTAAAAAGTTCTAAAGCATTATATCCTACATTTCCTCTTGGCCAAAAGTCTTGTTCAACGATTTGTTCACCCATCAAATACCCCACACCCAAATGAAGTTGCTGTTATTTGTAAATTTTAGGATAAGTCTAATTACATTGCCAAACAGTCTTCAAAAAAAAAATAATACAGCACCATCAATAAACTAAACCACTGCTGCATCTGACCATGCAAATCTCTTGCTTGCCACGGAATATGAGTACACTTGTGAAATAATGCTCAGATAGAACATGTTGCGCATCACTTATAAACCTTCCAAACTACACCAAAGCTTCTAGTCTTTATAACCTTGATACATGTATTTGATGAAGACCCTTTCCCTTTTCAGATATCCAGCCATCACAAAATTCTGTCCTTGACTCCTGGCTACTCACAGAACTGGTATCCAGACATCCCAGAAATTCTGGTCCTTCTAGCAGTCTGCACAAAAGCTAGAACTTTTTGGACAGATAGTACTTCTTGGACAAGACAAGTATAGTCTCTGTTTCCCTTGCACTAGTAGTCATCCTATCCTTTCTCATCTTCTATCTCCAGCTCTCCCCATTCCCTACACTTGCTATTGCCTCACATAGCCACAGCCCTGATCCTCATGCTGCACCAACTTACTACCTCTCAACAAAAATCCTGTTGGTTGTAAATGGTTTTTCATGATGAAACACAAATCAGATGGCTCAATTGGTCGATAAAGGCTTGTTCAGTGGCCAAGGGTTTTCATCAAAAGTATGGGGAAGATTATATCAAAGTAAAAACCTTGATAGATTCTAGTGGCTGGTTGATGCACTAACTTGATATTAACGATGCCCAACAACTTGAGAAGAATGTGCATATGGTTTGGTCCTTCTGTTTCACTAAGAGTATTTTCCAGCTGGCCTGTAGGCTTAACAAGTCCCTAAATGGTCTTACGCGAGAACCAACATCCTGATATCAAACCCTTCAGAAGTTTTTGCTTGCATATGGGTCACTAATGACAGCCAAATGTATGCTTTTACAATATCTGTTGTTCCAAAAGTTCTTAATGATAGTAAATATTGGATAATTTTGAGTTATTTTCAGTATCTTGCAACTACTCACCCCAACATTTCATTTGCTGTGAATCAAGTTGCTTAGCACATGCACAACAACTTGACGCATTCTGGCATGCTGTCAAAATATTTCTGCACGATATAAAGAATACTATTTCATATGGCCTGCAAACACTATCCCTGGAAATTGACTCTCTCACATGCTTCTCCGGTGATTGGGTTGGAGAGACTGATCTCTTTCCTTCCACCTCAGTGTACATCGTTTATCTCATATCAACCTCCATTAGCTAGAGCTCTGATAAGTAAAAAACATTTGTGTGATCATCTACAGAAGTAGAATACAAGGATGTAGCTATTATCACTATTGAGCTGGTGTTGGTACAATCTTTGTTAAATGAGCTCCACAACTCCATTCCAACAATATAGTCATACACTGCAACAACATTAGTGCTACCTAATTTTGTGGTGATATGGTGTTTCATGCTGAATTAAGCACTTGGCTCTCGATTTACACTTTTTCTGTGACGCCATGATGCTCACACCATCTCATAAGGTCATGTCAAGGATAATATCTAACCTTATTCTCAACAATATTATTTTCTATTGCATTACATCTGGTTTAAATCTATTATCTCAAAAGAAAAAAAACATCTGGTTTAAATCTATTCTATTTCTATTTAATTTCTAGATTTTAGTTATTAAATTGATAAAAGAACATTATAGTTTACATACTTGATCCATGAATGAATAAACTTTACTTGTATTTTCAGTTTCATAATGATTATTTTATGTCTACACTTGTCAAGGAAATAATGACAAAATACCTTATGAGTTTAGAGATAAAAAATCGGCTTAAAGTTAGAATGCTATTTTCATTCAAACTTTTTTATCCAATTTGTATTTTATTCCCATTCTTATTCCATAAAATTGAATTTTGAACTTAGCTTTATAGTTGAAATATTTTACCTTTAATTTCAAATGCAAATAACTAACCCTTCTAAGACCTTTTTGGGGGAACTCATTATAATTATATCTCCAGAGTATCTATATGTACTTGTTCTGACAATCAATAAAAAGAGAAAGCTCTGCACCTGAAAAGCTTTTTAAGCCTTTCTATTTTGGGATTGCAGCGATGGTTTACACCTCACTCGGACAGGTAACAGGATTGTGTTTGACGAAGTGGTTGAGGCATTAAGAGGTCAAGGCTTGAGTGCTGAAAAATTACCAGTTGATCTGCCACTTCTTGCGGAAATTGACCCTCTTGACTCCCTTAAGGCTTTTGACAACTAGGATGATTCTAGGCTCATGTATATGTTTTAATGGGATCTTTTTGTGGATTATTGCTATTAAATTATCATATATTTATGTTATGGAGAAGTGAACTACATATATTACGTAATGTCATTTTGTGGTTTAACTTCGTTTCAGGCCATTGAAATTGCGGTACTTGAATCATCAAAGTGTTTCTTAATTAGTACTTCCCTTGTATAAAGGTTTGTGCATTATGTTTAAGGGGGTTGACATATTTAGTGAGATGATTGTTTCTATGCAGGAAAATTGTTTTAGTTTTTTAAGAAATAGTTCACCTGGTTTACTTGCAAAATCCCTGGGTAAGAGTACTAGGATCATTGCTTTCCTGAATGATCGAAGCAACCCAAGAGGGAAAGAGGTGATCGGTTTTCTCAAATTTTCGCTAATTTAGCTCACGTGTTTATTTAATCTTCTGAAGTCACCATTTGAGAATTTCATTAATAAATTTTACGGTTACATCCGATTGTTTTTGCTAAGGTTGACAAGCATGTCTCTCACAATGCTTATTATTCTTGGTGTTAAATTAACTCTTAACGTACTTATTCATTTCAAGTTCGAGAAATTACACCTTTCGCAATATTTATTTTACTCAAAATCGGAAAACTACACCATTTACAATATTTGTTTTACTTAAAGTCAGACAAGCTGCACCTTTGCAAGTGTTCACTAAACACTTTTTGCTCAAAAGAGTTCTGCTTCCTTTCCAAAGTACAAACCATGGCAACCTTTTGGAACAAAGAATTACCACCAATAGGCAGGTAAATTAGTTATCAAAGCTCATTTGTTTGGCTTCAAACCCTTTCTAAGAAGTAATGCAACAAATTCATTCTCCAAAACACTTGTCAGTTAAAACTGATGGGGATCGTGTTTCTGCTCTTGCTCCATTCTTTTTACAGGACAACAGATAAATTAGACCAAGATATCTCATTGAAAATACTAAGATAAAATCTGCCAAGTGAATAGAATACTAATGTACCATATACATGATTTCATGGCTTATTAAACAGGAAAGGATGATTGATTTGGGCGTTCACATGCATACCTCAAAGCCAAGATCATTGAAGAACTTCATGAGAGCTCCGCAAGAAAATCAATGGTACAAATTATCTATGAACGAATATCTCTTTTATTCTATTATAAAATGATAGAATTAGAAATTCTCAATAGGTTATGGAGAATGAAAGAATTAGAAAATGACCTTTTATTTATCAAACAACAAAAAAGAAAAAACAAACGTTAATAATATAACTTATGACAATAATGTTTTTTTCCTAATGCAGTTTAATATGTACTGAGAAATGTCAGGCACAGCATAAAATTAATTGTAATGATTCATTGAAATGTCAAACACAGCAAAGTTCAGAAGTTAGTTACTTGCATCTCATCTTTATCTGAAAAAAGCTAGTGAAGTTGATAAACAAAACCAGTAATTAATTGTAAGAAGAGAACAGTTATACACATATATATATATATATACATAGTCTTGTTATCAGTTGAAGTTTAGTTTGCAAAAGAAACTAGTTATTAGTGAAGTGGTGTTGTGGGTCAGGCCCTCCAGGGCTTACTCTGTAGGGGTATGCATAAAGACTTCTCTTTGCTTCCTTTGCTTCTTGTTTCAATGCTTTGATTGATTCGCTTAATCTCCTCTTCTCAACAGGCGATCGAAGAGGACGATTTTCAATGCAGCTAAACAACAGCAGGATCAAAGTAAGACACAGTAAAGACTTGAGGTTAATCATTGAAATGCATTCTCTTCTTCTTTGGTCTTTGTATGGTTTTCTTACAAGTTTTCAAGACTGTATTTATAGACAGGTCTTGATCTTAACTTTTTCTGAATCATAAATTATAATGATCAACTTTCCGCCGTTGTTTGACGCGGACTCCTGACTGCATATATAGCTAAATGATATGAACAAGAATATATATACATATATGTGGGATCTCTGACTTTGTAATTTTGTAAGATATGGATGAATTTGAAAGTGAGGTGTCCATTATGAACTACTTTCCAAAGGGTATTAGTAAAACCATAACTTTTTAAATTTGGATCTTACATCAGCAATTGTGAACTTAAAAGATTTTATCTGACTAAGCTTTTACCAATAGGGCTAAAAATGGAGATGATAATCACATTTGGCTCCTTCTAAATGGTAGTTAATGGCTTTAAACCTATATCAGACATTCATATATTTATAACATATAATGGATAAACCTGAATGTGTCACTGTCTATACATTTGTATGCTTCGTGCATTACCAGAAAGTAGGCATATTACAAGGAAGTTTTAACTGATTGC